AAACTGTTTTCAATCTGGAGCTTTTCACAGGGAGCAATGATTTGTATGTGTATTTGTCTCTGTGACATCATTAAAGGGTGGGGAGCCAGCAACACATTGAGTGAAAATTACTAAAAAGGGCTACACAATAGAGACACATTATTCCCTTTCAAGCCTGCGATCTGAGTTAGCACTGCACTTACTGCATGTTTGCTGAGATGTTATGCAAAACCTTTCTGTGCCCTCAGTTGCACATGTCCACCCACTCCTCCCTCATACATTCCCCTGCTCCCTCACCATCATGCCCTCCTCTCAAGGAAAGTCTGGGCACTTCAGAGGCCGCTCCTCTCCCCTATCACCTTTTCGGTGTGCTAAAACAGTTTGCTCCCACTGTGGGCGGCATACTGGGTGCTCTCCTCCCTCACCTCACACTGCCAGCCTCTTATCAACAAGCAAATACAGAGGGTGTGAGTGTATAGAGTAAAGGCAGAGGAGGACGACGACGAGGCAGGGAGACAGAAAGGACACTATATTTAGCACTGGAGCTGTCACCTTCTGTTTTTCTCTCCTGAATAATCATAGTTTGACAGCATGCATCCCGCAGAGCAGAGGTTGCTGGGATGCACTACCCCCCTCCCCTCCTCCACCAGCAACATCTCTTGAGAGAAAGTAGCAAAGTATTGTAATAATTGCTGCAGGCTTGCGTGCCACAGCCACCACACATTACTCCGTGAAAATCTTTTCAGTGCCTTGACATTCTCTAATGGAGATAATAGGGAAGGGAGGGATTTTTGGACTACAGACTGTTGCCAACAGGTACAATGTTGCATGCGTAATGCACACAAAGAGAGCAAATTACCTCCAAGTGCTCTGTATAAATGAGCTGCAACGTGACCAAAAGACATTTAGAATAACCTTCTGCCATCCATAATTTTCTCAGAATTGGAATGCATGTAGAAGAGGGACGGTAAAAGGCTGGGGCAAACTTGCTACACTCATGTACCAATGATGATTATCTGCTGGGAAAGAAGAAAACATGCACAGGTGGAAGCACTAATGGATGATGGAAATCAAGTATGTTCTTGAACTCCATGGCTCTAAGAAATCAAAGAAGAATGAAAATGATTATTACTGTGAAAGTATTGTAAAGTATTGTGATGGAAATGGCATGTTACATAAATGTAAAGATGCATGCCTGACTCTTTCTTCTTTGGGATCAGGAAAACCCCTTGAAAGAAAAACAATAGAAAAAAAATGGCCATAAAAAAATCCTAATTTAAACTATACAACAATGTTGTCTCTGTTCCCCCCCATGTTTGGGCATGTTCATCAGGCAAAGCAATAACACAAGCACCTCACACTATAAGTGATTAATATTATCATTGTTTAATACCAATTTAATTATTTATCACAAAATTGTTTATTAAATTGTGACAATTTGCCAAGTAGGTTTCACTGCATGTCTCATTATGTTTCACAAATGTAATAGAATGCACTATATGTGTAATGTGCCCTGATAATGTAGCTAATTAATGACATTACTTTTGTAGCCAAAGCGCAGGAAGGTTTCTGGGTTGTGAGAACAACTTTTGCCATTTCCCTGATGATCAACCAATCAGTAGCTGGTTATATACAGCCGGTTCACCTTTGTTTGAAGGAGACGGATCAAGACAACTGAAGCAGCTAGACTAGTATATGACACACACATGAAAATAGGCTGTGAGAGGTACAAGGAGATAAACTCTCCGCTTTGGTATCCTAACAACCTGTGGAAAAGGTGGTGTTTCACCAGAGAAGTCAAAAGGACACCAACAGTACAGGACCACCTACACAGAGGAACGTCACACTGACAAAGGGCTCTTCTCGTGTACTGTAATATATATATATATATATATATATATATATATATATATATATATATATATATCACATCACATCACATCACATCACACACACACAATTGTGTGTCTATTGTTGCAAAGCCAGAAATAGAACAAGAGTAGTTCAAACTCAGTAGCAGCTCCTAATTATTCAAAGAATAAAGAGGTGGAGGGCATCTCGCCATTTTCTGATCTTAACCCAGAAAACTGGGAGAGATGAGCCGATAGTGAAGCCTTTGTTCAGGCGTGACAATCATCGACCCATTACGTGGAACAAAAAGACTGTCGGGGAAGCACAAAGGCTAGAGTAACCTTAACATTGTCCCTGAGAATTAGTCCAATTACAGGACTGCCTGGCTTTGTCTGGCTTTCTTCCCAGAGCTAACCTTGTACCCAGGTGTTCCACCGAGGACTAAAGAAGCCGAAGAAAAACAACGTTAAACACTTTCAAATGGGCCAGAGGATAAGCCTAACAAGCTATTACTTGTTAATATGGTGCCATTCTCCCACAGTTTGAGGGCAGTTAACCTCGGGTGTGTGACTGGCTTCTGTTTGAAGGGTCATAACCCCTTGCGCACTAAAATAGCATGAGATTACAGACCTTGTTTAAAAGTAAATATAGGAGTTCTCAGCAGCTGATCTGAGCCAGCCTCGTTCAGTCTCTTACGAGAGAATACACCTACATAACCTTTTGTTTTAGTAATATCATCAGTACATCCAGTAACTGGCACTTTCATTTGAAAATGTTATTTTCATAACCTCAACTATATTAATAATTAATGTACGACTGACAAAAAGTTACAGTGCAGAATATAGCATGATGCGGCTGCGTTAAATTCTACATTTTTTGGAAAACACACAATGTTTAATTTGAGAAACGCATTGCAGCCTGGTATTTTTTAAGTGTGTGCGTGCGTGCGTGCGTGCGTGCGTGCGTGCGTGCGTGCGTGCGTGTGTGTGCTATTTTTCAACTCTTCTGAAGTTGGGCTTGATGACCTATCCCTGCGAGCTTTGAATGGACATTCCTTTGGTCTTAGCCTCTGTTTGCTCTCTTGGTCCTTATCACAGTTAATAACTCAGCTTGCACAAACACACTCAGTAGCTGCTTTAGGAACCTCAAAAGACAAAATTATCAGCTTAGGTTTCTTATGGATGTTTACATTGTGAACCTTTGTTTTAAGAGATCTGGCGCAGAAGATGTAGATACTGGATTGTTCTTTTTTATTTAAGGGTCTTGCAGACATGGAGCTTAAATGTTGAACAAGAATGAACATTCAACAAACGCATACTATTAATCTGTATTCTATTTACAATTCAAATTACCAAAGTTCAGGGGTTATTCATAGTTTCAGGAAAACTGGCGTACCTGTATCTCAGTACAAAATAAACTCAGCTGAAAAGCAGAGATTAATTTATGCAGAATGGAATTTCAATGTGTTTATAACAGACGGTCACACTGAAATGCAGTATGAATACTGTATATATGCCATACAAGATGTTCAGAGACACATGTGTGTATCTGTGTATGTGACCCATTGTCTGTTGCTTTGATAGAGGGTAAATATTTGAAAAGCAAAGACAACGTATTGGTTCCCTCGTGTTAAAGTCTTGGATTTCAGCCAAAAGCAGCAAAGCCTTTTCTACAAGCTTTATAAAATGCAAATATTCAGTGGGAAGTGATAGTGTGTAACCTTTATGGATAAACATGTGAGGCTATAGGTCACAGACAGAAGCTAATTCAACCACACAGCAAAACACAAAAACAAATTCTATTAGCTGCTATATTTGTAGCTTTTCTCCTTGTTTTGTTTTATCACCAAATTGAAGACTACTTATTAAAAAATTAGCTGGATTATGTTATCAGAAGGTACTTATTACAACAAATTTGTATGCCAGCACTAGACAGATATCATGAAACCAAAAGCCAATTATTTGGTTAAGTACACTGACACATAAAAAATTAATAAAAGCACATTACAGAGCTATTCCCAGCAGTACGGCGCAAAACCAATACAATTAGGGAATGCACAGCTTAGGTGCATTTCTAGTCTCCAGCTATCTGAAGTTGCTCTGTGAGGCATAAAGTAACCTCCAAAACTAATTAAAAACAAAAAGGAACTCAATTAAAAAAAAAAGAAGAAGAAAATAGATGAACTCCTTTCTACCAAGTAAATGTGAGACTAGTGGAGTGTGAAATCCAACTTGATTAGGGACGGAGAGAAGGGGATGGGATTGAGGGATGAAGAGAGAGAAAACAAACAGGTAAGCAAAATATTGGAGCAAGGCGGAGCAAGTGAGAGTGCACAGATCTTCATTGACAAAGCACTTCAGTTTAAAGTTTTCATCAGCTTAGCAAAAGGCCAGGACATGAAGTTACACCAAACAAGTACTCGTTTATAATATGTGATTTCAGTGCCGTGATTTGCTGGAGGTGCGAAACCTCCACTTCCCATTCAGTGTTCTGTTCAAACTCGGCACAGAGCTGAGATCTAAAGTGTGGTGTGACAGGGATCGGGACTCATCAGATGCTTATTAAAGTCTACTTCAGAGGCAGATACTATCAAACCTTGAGAGCTTTGCATGGACACGATGACTATGCTGGCGCTGGAATGACAAAGCACCGGAGACTGCACCACTGAGACCTTATTTTAACAGGACAGTTCAACACACGCACAGGGTCTCATGTGGCACCGGCAAACATTCATAACATGCTGGATCTGCACCCTGACTGTGTGCCCAGCCAAGTGTTAAATCTGACTTGATTTCAGAAGGGAGCCGAGGTCACACAAAGGCCTGTTTGGGGAACTAATAACAGCCAGGCGATTAAATGAAGACATATTCTCTGGCCCTGAATAGTCAGGACAATCAGCAGCACATCTCCTCACCCCTCTCATCACGCCTCTCTCACACAACACACAATCAAGCTCTCTGTTAGGCAGTGAAGGAGTAAATGCCAGGCTCGCCAAGCCCTGAATTCATCTAGTGCCAATAGTTTACCCATTCCAGTTATTGAACAAGACCATAAATAAAAGACTGGTGACATTAGTGACTATTACACCAGTGATCGCATCTGCATGTCTGTAGAGAAACACAGAAGTAACAAACTGGGTCACAGACACAGCAGTATTGTGAGTGCCTTACCTTTGAAGGACAGGAAGATCCTGGGAGCAGAGAGGGGCTCGTTGGAGGGGGGCAGCCCCCCAGACGATAGGGCCAGCAGGGCCAGTAGCCAGCACAGTTTGTCCCACAACATTGTCCTCCTGTTTGTTAACAGAGGAAAAGGAGAGTCCAAGAGTAATTATAAACCAGTTTGTTTTCTTATGCTTTTACTGAAGTCATACACTGACAAGACAGAAAATTAAGCAGGGACTGAGCTGAAAGCTGAAAAACTCAAATCTGTTTTATATATGCTTCTATATTTGCTGTGCATGCATGGGGAATTAAAATGCTTAAAATCTTAAGCATTTTGATTACCCATGCATGCATGGTGTGCAATATAGACAGTAACTTAACCTGAACCATAAACCTGAGGGATGGAGAATCCTGGAAAAAATGTATTAATCATCATTGCTACTGGATTATTAAGATGAATCTGTCATATTATTGTGACTTTCATAACCACCCACAGTTATTCTTGCCTGCTGCTTCTCTGTGTGTTGTAAGGGCAACAGTCTGAATGGAAGGAGTCTCCTTCCTGCCTGCACCTCCCCACTCTCTGCAGACCCTCACTTTTCATAAATAGGATACATGACCAAAACGTGTTTCTGAATGCGGCAAATGGATGGGCAATAATTATTATTACACATTATACAGCAAGAGCTGAACTCCACCAGTAGTATACAAGTATAGCCTGGCGCGCGCACTGTCAGTGTTCACAAATAAATTAGCGCCATCAACGTGCTGTTAACCCGCCACAAAGGGAGCCGAAGTTAATAATATCCCCATAAAAGGATCTGGAGACTCAGAAGTTATCAGTGTACAGACGATTACACACACACACACGAAACCTGCAGAAAGAAATATCTGTGCCACGTTTGGAGACAATTAAACAACTTTAGCCCTGGTGTTTTATTGTAATTATCCATGCATGGCACTGATCTACTCGTAAACGTGGATATGAGTCTGAGGTCAAACTGTCAGTTAGGGTTTAAGATCAAGTTCCACATTGAGCCCAAAGGCAGAACTCCAAAGCAGATCCGTTAACCAAAATAAAGCACGACAGGGCTGTGAGTTATGAGGACATGAACATGAACCACGTGTCATTTATGACAGTAGTCGGGCCTTTAAATTGTGAAAAGTAGCAGCACCAGTTACATACACTCGACCACTGGGAATAGCAGATCTTTAAGATACAGCATCACATGCTGCGAAAACTTTCAGTGCCTCAGAACTCACGTTGTACACCGAACACACACACACACACACACACACACACACACACACACACACACACACGCTACTGATCTTGGCTCTTGCAGTATTTGAAATTTGTATTTGAGTATTAATTTAAAACTACCTCCTACGCGCCAGACAAGACAGCAAAAACATGAATAGGCTTAAGCGAACTGAGGTCTGTTGCTTAAAATAAACTAGTCCACATATTTAGGACAAAATTATTTGACAGAACTTTTAAAATAAATCTCATATATTAGAGCCGCCTGTCTTGCACATGCAGCGAAGGCATCACTCCTTTGGCGCGACTCCACCAAATGTGGCTACTGATTTATCAGCACATCTGTCTCAACACAAATAATTAATTTGGACTTGTCATGTATCAAAACAGAACTTGCATTATGACCTACCTTCTAGTTACGTCCAGTGAATATTGTGATAAAGCTGGCCAACATTTAAAACCATCCACCCAGATCCTTTGAGCTCCTCTGTCTGTCCGCACGCAGGAGTACGAGTGTATCCGCCGCAGATCCTGCACGATTATCCCAGAGCCAAACAAAGCTTGGATTTAAATTAACTTGACGCGGCCGCCTTAACTTGAAGTGATCTCTAAATCGCATCAACAGATGCTGTATTTTCCACTGAAGGAGGTTAGAAACAAAGAGTTGTGTCTTGAGACATGAGTGGCGGAGAGGAGGTTCAACCGTGCGTAGCGGCGCTCAAGTGAGTAGTGCGGGGAAGCGGCTTCTGCAGGTGGATAGACTGAGGTCTCCCGGCAGTGGACACACCCATGGGGGAGGGAACCTACCTTAGCATCAGTGCGCCCTGCCCCTCCCCAAAATCTAGCACAAAACAAGTCTGCTCTGCATCGTTTTGCACTCCAGAGGACCTACAGAGGTAAACTCAATTAAAATGACGAAGAACACGCTGTAGGCTACAAGTGGGGTATTGGGCAGCTGGAGGAGATGTAGAGATGTCGTGCTCCCTTCAGCATTAGGAGGAGTTGTGCAAAATGTTCTGCTACAATAAAATAATAAATATATGCCCATTAAAAATTTTAACATTTTGTATTTAAATATCCTTTAAATTTCTTTAAACGCGTTTGGCAACGTATAATTGCGCATGCCTCCTAAGGGTCTTACCCTATTTCCCACTGACCGGTAATCATTATATCACATCTCCAATATATTCAGATGAAATTTGTGTTTTTATTTTTTCCAGGTTTCCAAAAATAAATGTCCTAATGGCTTTATTGCAGAATAAATAATGCAAAATCCACATGCTTGTTTTATAGTACACATGGGAACTTGTGTTAATGTGATATAGGCTTTATTTCATCTGAGAGAGGCAATATTCACAACCATGCAACCTACAACCAACAATAAGGTCTTAAATGCTGAACTCAGATGCTTCAGTTCTATGGGTGAAGTTTATTTTAGAGGGAGAGCTTTTCTTTTGAATGTCCAGAGGAAGCTCTTTTTACATGGCTGCTTGAGTATCAAAATAGGACTGAGGTCATTTCACAACTTGATTAGCCTGTGACTGCCAGCTACTGATTTTAAGTTGCTGACTGGAGCCAACATCGAGTTGTGCTGAGAAGCTTTCAGATGCCAGCTCTGTGCCAAACAATTGTTCAGTATCTGCTGGTTTTGGCAGTCTCACAGCGTGGAATAGTGTTTGCTTTTTGAATAAACAATTAATCACTTTTGAGTTTGACTCAGGCGTAGAAGAAAGAAAAACCAAGCCTCCAATGATTTAACATGAGAACAAGCAACTTTCATTTGATGCCAACAGCTGCTGCATAACTCTCCAGCACAACAGGAATGTGGCCGCACGTTCACATAAGAAACAGTTGAAAAGTGGCCAGATGCTGATAAGGTAGATTTCCTCCGACACCTCGACGACCTGACAGAGGATCACTGACTCTAGCCTCAGATAGGCATCAGATATTCATGGGCAAATGGAGCCTTAAATCTTTTAATCTCACTCGATCCCTCCCCTGATCGCACCGGCTTATTTTACTTCTCATCCAGTCAATGCACAATGCAGCTGATGCCCAGTGTGCATGCTTATTATTCCATAAATGATAAATACAGTAGCTGCAGTTTCATGCAGTCTTAGGGACTTTACTATTGCAGAATTGTCTAAAATCAGAGAGGAATTTCGAGGATGTAAAGACTTTCTTTCATTGAATCATGGCTGTAGAGCTGTTTCCATTGTGTTTTTTAGTTCACAGGAAAGATAATGTTACAGTGACAAACCATAAAACCTGCACCACAGCTAACTGACTGGGTGGTATATACTATAAACTTTCCTTCTTTTTCTAACCTTTGTGTTCAGGGGAATAAATGAATAAACTGGATTGGTAAAGAAAAGGCACCTTCATGCTAAATGTGAAATAAAAAATCCGGATATCTGGCTGTGACTTTGAGTTTTCTGTCCTTTGAAAGATGTCTTGGAAAGACAATTACTACATTAGTCTATGCAAAAGAGTCTTCGCAGTGTGACTCCAGGCTTTGATGCTGGTAGCAGAGGAAAGAAGAGAGCTCAGCATCAGCATTTGCCATTAAAAGTGTTAAATTTCCCTTGATACCAGCAAAGAGCTCTGGGAAACAATTACCCCCACACTTACGAGCTCATGCACACAAGGCAGGAGATATTGATATGTTTCAGACCATCTGAATCTTGGGACCGTCTTGAAAAATCATCATCACTCTTTTTTTTTCTCACACACAAACACAAAGAGGCACACAGCTTAACATATGCAGGTGGGCGTTCATGTTTGAAGGGTGGTCTGAGCACCAGACACAGCCAAATAAATAACAACTTTCATAAATATCTGGAACACAACTCCAAATCCCCCAGGACTCACCAAGAATAAATCAGTCAAACAATAAAATCTCTTTCCCCAAACTTCACATATCAGCAGTTCAAACAGCCTCCAATCAAAATGTGTGTGGACCAGCCAAGTTTAATTGTGTCATTACTGGTACTTCTTTTTGTTTCCCAGCGCCATCTATTCCTGTTTTCTCTCTTTCCTCTTTCTTTTAGTCTTCCCTCCTCTGTCTTGTAGCCAACAGCTGCATGTTGTTTCCTATATTTCTTTTTAATCAACAATATTATTCCCATCTTCAGGCCTCTGGTGGCCTCACCATCTGTCACTTGCGTGAGACAAGAGGAAAGCAATTATTGAATCCTGGCTTTGAGGAGCGCCCGCCTTCATAAAAGTCCCTCATGCTTTCCAGTTTTTCTTCTTGCATTGCTTTCTCTCTTGCAGCTATCTGAGGAGTAAAATGTGAAAGATAATATTGAAACCAAAGATCACCATCGGGTGCCAGAACACAGAGGCAACACATTTAAAAGTGACGTTAAGCCGTTTTGTTCTGCAGAGGAGATGCCAGGTTTATAAATCTGGGTTTGAATACTGCTGGTGGGAGACTTTATTCTTCTTTCTCTTGAGAAGTTATGTTGTTGCTGCCAGTTTTAACAATGTGACTTTGACTCCAAGTTGAACATGTCTATTTAAAAATGTTGTAATTTTCCTGGAGGACTTGAAGGCATCGCTGCATAGATTATTGTCATTATTATTATATTATTATTATCATTTTTATTGGGTTCTCTGAGGATTGTTCATGAGAACCATTTTACATTTATTTATCCACTGCAACTCGGTTCACAACTACATTAACATGTGCTTAGAAGACACTGGTGGTTTTCAGGGAAACAGGTGCCAGTGGGGAAATACAAATCTAGGCAGTATAAGAGCACAGGTCATTCTCTTAAATGCGTTTCATTACATTCAATGAATTTCCCTCCAACCTTTGCCATCAATGACTCCACCAGCCATGGAAAGTAATTATTAACAGGCTGTGACAACCTTAAACCCTGTCTGCTGCCTCCACCACATGATGGGGAGGCAATTAACAGCTGTTCATTACGGATGAGGTGAAGAAACAAGTGCACCCGCATATAGCTGCGCACATCTGCATGCATGCACAGATGTGAGTGCACACACATCCTTACACAATTGACCACACGCAGTGCACTAGCAGCACACACACGCGTGCGCACACACACACACACACACACACACACACACACACACACTGACAGCTGAGGATGCCGTGGCACAGAGAATGGCCTTCAGCGCTCTCTGAGGGACACATCGTTTGTGTAGAATTTAATGAGGGGACATGTACTCATCCCTCCACCTCACTGGGAGAGCTGTTACCTTTTGGTGTGATAAGATATTAAAAATTCACACTGTTTCTGCAGCGCTTTGACTAGTATTGTAGCACACTCATTAGCATTTAAATGGGAAAAAGATAACGCCGCACTTCACATAGTCATACCTCCATCGCAAAGCTGGCAGACAGAGAAGAAAACTTGATTCAGGCCCTGAAAACTTTGGCTGTTTCAGACACCTGAGGGTGGAAATAGTTACATTTTATTGCTAATATTGTGCCATTGTCTGTTTTATTTTGCTTTTATACCATATGTACACTATAACCGCCACTGTATATAACTTCAGATAAACATTTAATTGCTTTTAAGGGAGTCTAAATCATCACCGCTGCAGCTTTAAATCTTCATGTGACAGTTATCATCTGTTATACAGTATATTAAATTAGTTAAGTGAATGGAAAAACTCAAATGCCGTCAGTCTTGTTGGAGCAGCTCAGGGTGTTCTGCGTCGTTACTATAATATTAGAGCCACAATTCTGTGTTTTCTCTCACAGTAATAAATACAGCAATATTTGTCTATTATTTTTAATACATTTTTGAATGCAGGAGAGATATTCACCCCCGTTTGGAGTTTCCCATTCAAACCACATGCTGTTAGTTAGTGAGTGAACCCGAACCAGAAAAATACTTTGGATGTTTGCTATTTTTGTTGGCCTGGTGTGATGCTAGCAATGTTGACTTTTACAGTGAAATAGTCAAGACACTGTAAAACTAAAACAAAAGTTTCTTTGTAATGTCAATACGTGTTGAGGAAAATGTTATAGCTTGCTAGGGAATCTGACTTTATAACTTGTTAGTGAATTAGCCAAACATTTATGCTGAGAATGTAAATTCTGTTTAGTTTGTACTTTTCTTCCTTTGATTACACACACATGACATGCCCTTTTGAGCTGCATTCTTAAGATTAATGGCTCTCTTTTTTTCGTGCATATTTTTCTCATCCAGAACTCACTGTGTTTGGCTGATTTTTCTGCTCGTATTTGTTCCTCAGTCTTTTGTCACAGAAGCTGACTATGACTCAGCTGGAGCTTTGCGGAGCTAAAAATGGGACAGCTGCCTTTTTTAAATGACACAAGTTTGTCTCATTGTATCTGGCTCACATGTCTCCTGCCTGGGAACAGAGGGAGGAGGGCAGCTGTGGTGGGATGATTTGGTATGAATTAAAGCTGTTTCCTAACAGGCTCCACAGGGTCTGATCCTGTCCCCTGCTTGTCTGGTGGATTCTCTCCACCAGTATCAACCAGAGGAGAGCGTGTATTACATTACATCAGCTCTTTTTCCCCCTTGTGTTTTTGTTCTGCATAGCAAAATGTACTGCAAGCAATAACAGCGTTTTTATATTTAGCATGACTTTGTGGTTGAAGGTGCCCCGGCCATGCTACCTGTGGTTAGTTGAGGGGATTTGTGTAATAGTTTTCCCATGCAGTGTTGTTAGCGTGGGCCTCCTGAGGGTCCGGTCTGTCAGTGTCATTCTTCATCGGCAACCAGCCGCAGG